CAGACTGTTTCAATCTTTCTTCCAATCTTAAAGACTGAACTCTGGTACATTTAATTTAAAGATACTTCTCCCATGGGCAAAATCTGCTGCCAAAAGCATTAGTGTGTTTTAAGAGGACGTTCCTGAAATACGAATAAGTCGAGCCTCTGTGATCATTTTAATTGGTCCATCAGTGCTAACAGCTAAAAGTAAAGCTGCCATCTTTCATGGCAGACCAGACCTTTCCCCTATCCCCTTATATTTGTGTTCCTGACATTTTATGAAAATAGTTCTCAGTCTTGCTCAGTCTGGGAGATTTATATAGGTTCACAATCACAGCATTTAACTCAATTCTGTCAAAACTGGCGGATAAGCTGTAAGATATTGCCCCATGGAAAAAAAAAAAAAAAAAAAAAAAAGAAAGAAATGTTTTTTCAAGATGGTAAGTGGTTTTGAGTAAGTAAAATTTCATTGACACCAAAACACTTACAGGAATTTATTGGTTTCAGCTCTGATACTCTGATTTGGATTGAAAAAAAACTCTGGTTGAAACCAGAGCAAAGATTTTGACTGAGATCTCTCTGCAAGTCTCCTCAAACATGCCCATGCACACACAGACCCATGCAGAGCTGCCAGAATCAAAATGGGCATTCCAAGACCATTCTGCTTTCATGTCCTGAGGAGTTTTGGTCCAAAACCTTTCAAGATGATACAGGCAGCCTCATCATCCTCCATACAGCCCTAGCGACAATGCCATGTAAGAGCATGAAAAGGCGTGCAGGCAACCCATCCCCTTCCCCTGCGGGCTTTTCAAATGCTAAGGACAGAAAGACATGGAGATCTTGTCTGCCTGTGCCAGGTGGCCCCAAGGCCCTATGTTTATGGTTTGGGTTTTGAGCCTTTTTTGTCTTTATAATGCAAACTCTTCTTAGTGCGGTTCATTATGAGAGTATGTGGAACCAGCACACCTTGTGCTGAAGGTCCCAAGGCTGAATACTGCTGCCATTTGTCCAAGCAATAGACTCTCATCAGGTAGCTTGTTTTCGGAGTAGGAGTTGGTGTCATTAACTCTTGAGTATTGTCTTAAAGTACCAGCAACGAGCACATTAACAAAACACGTATCACACTCAGGACCAGTCTGTATGCAGACAGTTATTGATAGTCATCCAAAGCCACCTTTGGAGAGACAAGACCTGCTTATCTCATCCCTAAGCCTTGTGCAACCTATATGGTCTTGACACCACTGCACACAGTAGAATGCAAATGAAAATATATCCTTGCCCTCCTGCTGCCGGCAGCACTGGAAAACTAGTCTTTCTCAAGAGTGAACAGTGAAGGTCCTAAGGACATGTTGGCTGAAGACTGAACAGGAACTGGTGAAGATTTACTGCTTCCTTTTCCAATGTCCCAAGTTTCTGCTTTGCAGTCTCTGGTTCATCATCTTGGCATTAGGCCAACAGGATAAGCAGTGGTGTTGGAGAGCTGACCCAGACATGCTGTTTTGGACTCACTGGCCTTGTATCTAAAGACTGACCAAAATGAGTAGACGTTTAAATGTTTTGAAGGAAAATGCATTCCTGAACACTGTTAGATTGACTCTGACTTTAGTTTCACCTGCATGCTCTCCATGGAGAAATCAGTGGAGTTTTGAGTTGAGCTGGATCCAATCAGACATCAGGGGCTAGGTTTAAAATTGCTGCAAGAACACAAAGAGGATGTTTGTATTTCCATGAACAGCTGAATTATGGCTCTACACTGGCCCACAAAAACATGCCGAGTGTCTCTGTTCATAGATGGGATAACTCCTGTTGTCAACAATGCATGTGGCTTAAGAACATCTCTTTGCATATGTCTCTTAAAACGCACAAGGACCAAAAATTGAAATCTGATTGTTGTCCACTGAGAAGTTGTTGAGGGAACTGTGGGAAAGGCTTGCCAGTGGGAAAGGATAGTTCATTCTTTGTGCCCATCTGTGCTTATTATTCTAATAGGCTCTGGAATGCAGTGGAAATGTCTCATACATGGCTACATCTCTACTAAGAAGCCAAAAGTCAAAAAGCAACTCATTCACAGAAGATACCAAACAACCTTGAAACCAATTTCCTGTCATTTTAGGTCATGACTAGGTTCAAACTTGCAGTGCAGGAGTGACAACTCAGCCTCTCATTATTTCCACCTGTAGTCATCCAATCTGTTGCAGTTTTGAAAATATAAAAGCATGTTCAGGAATTATATGACAGTGTGGAATTTCAAGGCATCTGCACTAAGTCAGAATAATAAGACTGTGCATCCTGTGAATTTAATAAACAATGAGCTTATTATTAGGTACCCCCACGCCTCACATGAGCAACTCCATCCAGTGTGTGGGAATAGAATACAGTAAGAGAAAAAAATGAAAGAAATGCTAAAAGGCAACATATAATAAGGTTTGCTTACTGTTAGTCTTTTTAACTCCAACAGCAGAAGCAATTAAAGTGCATCAATCAGGTCTTTTTTTCTGTGATAGGGATGTTCTCCAGTGTTTTTAACAGCTTGCAAATTCCTATGACTATAATCAGCCTGATCCCACTGTGCTCCCTGTCAGACACCACAATGGTTATAATGTGGCACCTGCTTGGTACAAAGCTTGGAAGTGAGGCTGGGTGCCCACAGAATAAAAATTAAGCATGTTCACTGCAGAAGGGGAGGATCAGAGGGAATTTAGGAACACTGGTGACAGCCCTTTTTCTTCTCTCTCAGCAAGAGAGTCCTGACTACAGCAGGTCAAAAAATACTGCTATTGTTTTGCCTTAAACCTCCCTCTTCCAGATGCAGAGTTTTGCTTCCAGAAGCTACCAAAGTGGGGGTGTGTTCCCAGTAAAATCAACTACCTCTGTCTGTCTCTTCTGGACTACCCAGCTTGCCCCGTTGTCAGAATGTTCAGAAAGCAACAAACATTTTCTTACCCTGACCAGTTTGCCAGTCCTCTTCCTCATGCCTCACTTATAGGTACAATGGCTAGAAAAGCAGTGGTTTTAGGTAAGCTAAGCTTTTTTCATCCTTCCAAATTCACTGTTTTTCCTCAGTGCAGAATTCAGTGGATCCCACTGACCTGGAACTGCCTCAAGTGGATTTTTTTTTTTTTTTTTTTTGGCTATCAGACAAACTGCCCCAAATCCTGACAGTTCTCCCCTGTAAACTACTGTAGTGTCTTTCATTGAGATATCTCTGCAACTCTAAAGAAATCTTTCATCAGTTTAGTAAAGGACAAGGACCTATATTGCAACTTCATTCATAAGAGAATATTTTCTCATGGTCTGTGTTCTCTTTGAAATTCTCCATTGGAACTGGAAATAGTTAAATAGCAATCTACATTTTGCTTAGCTAAACATAAACAGACCCATGAACTGGATTCTCTCCTAACACAGTGTGCAAGCTTTGATTCATGCAAACTGAGACAAAAAGAAAGCAAAGTGGGTTACAACACTAAATAATCTGTACGTTTCTTCAAGTGCTATTATTGCCACTTTGCGAGACAGACACACTGAATAGCTTGGCTGCTCCTGTCCGTCTGGGGAGAGCCTAGCATGCTGTGGGCTCTCTTGCAAAGAGATAATAATAATAGTGATAAAGACCAACAGCTTCACAGTCAGAGATGCGATGAGAAGTCAGGAGTTACTGGCTCCCTGTGGTGGGCATGGCTCACTTCCTTTTTAACAGAGTCCAGAATGGTCAGTGTCTAAAAAAAGTGAAACAGCCTGGATGGATTGCATCAAACTGAAAAAAGTAAGAAAAATTGATTTTATCTGTAGGTCAGACCACATACTTGCCCTTGCTGCAGGATACTTGGTGTGCAAACTGCCTCTGCGCTGCATTTCATTCTCCTGAACTGGAGTCAGTAGCTTGGGCAGGAGTAAAGGCTTCCTGCCAGCAGGGAAAACAGTGCTGGCAGGTCCAAAAGCACTCAGCCTGCAAATCAGGGGGAGGGCAGGTCTGTACCAGCACAGACAACACCTCTTCATCTTGGAAACACCTTTTGGCTAAGGTGGGATTCCTTTCACCTGTGCTTAGCTGCCAAAAAAAGAGGTGTATAGTCATGTTAGCAGGCTAAGTTCCTTTTACAGTCAATGAAGAAAGGGGTTCATACTCTTCCCAGATCCCATCCAGCACCATCCTGAGGGATATATGGATGGATATAAGTACAGCTATGCAGGTTGACAGAAGCAAGTCCCTTCTAGCTGCATTTATCAACACCAAGACATGAAATTATCATTGGTCACAGTGAGAGCAGAAACAGAGTGAGAATCTGCTGAAAGCTGCTTGGGCATGAACAGCAAAGTACATAAATTTCATTGCTGCAGATTTCAATATTGTGATTGATAACGGACAAAATTCTTACATTTAAGAAGGATATTATTATGACAAAGCTTTATAAGATATAGACAGGTGTAATGAACAGTGAACTAATATTGAATTGAGAGTCAATCCACAGGAAAAGATGGAATACTGTCTGTGGTCATGATTCAAAGCAGTTCACCCATTGCGTTCTGGGAAAGCATTTCTGTGACGCTAATAAATGTCCTGTTTTTTTGATGGCATCCTTTCTTTTACTCCCAAAATGACAGCTGAAGAAAATTACAGTGAAACAGTATCAAAGGCTGTTCAGATTGAATCTAATGCTATCTAGCAGGCAGAGGAATAAAGACCAAAGGCAGCAGAAGCATCGTTTAAGATAGGCTGAGCAAAGCATGGAAGTATGTGCTT